GCTGCAGACTTGTGGGTACCTCGGAGAATTCACCCTCTGCCTTCCTAGCCTCCTTCTAACTCCTTCCCGAAGGTCTTGCTGAAATGGCAGAAAAGTCTTGACAGAGCATGATTTCTGTATGGCAGCTTAGCCTAGCTTCTTTTGTACCGTCCAGGGCGCTGGGAAGTGCCGTTGACTCATCCGCAAAGGAAGCCCTCATGGCTAAATGGCCGAGATATTGGTCATAGCGCCTACAAAAAATCCAAAGTTGAAAACTTCTCGAAAATGTCAGTCTCAGCATGCTCTTTAGAGTCCTGTTCCGCCTATCGCTCCACATCTCAGGCGCCTGTTCTCCCTCAAGTTGTTTGTCCCATTAGAGCAACAGTACCCCATAAGCCAAGACAGTATGTGGAGAGATGCCTTCATTAATATGCAGAAGTGAAGTTACTATGATAATTATTATGTTACAGAATGGGGGAAGCTCGTCCTTTATCCCCTAGCTTGTTCGCTTGTAGACCGATCACGTTACCAGTATGCAGCGCACCTAAGTGTGCTTCCAGCTGAGCGGCCAGGCCATTTATCCTGTATGACAACCCATCTCTCATACTGCACATACTACTACTTGTAATGTATTTATGTAGGGACTGGATCTCCTACATGCGCCATAATGCCATGCTGCCATAATAACTACCTATGCACCAGCTACTAGATCTACCATACTACATAGCTGAGCAAAACACTAATCGACACACAAATCACTTCCCAAACTATTAAGATATCTTGCGGCTCACAGGCCACAAGTTGAGCCAAAATAGAAGAGTACCAGACACCAGGAAGTGATGCGTAAAAAGAGACTTTGGTGATGTGAAGATTCGGAAGCAGGTTTTGCTTTCACACCTAAGAAATTAAAGATTTGCACAGTACTAGCATCATGAAACGCCGCCAAGCACTATGGCAATGGTGATTTTAAGAACTTAGGCTCATGGCGGTGGAGACTGACGCAAAATTGGCGCTATGCATCGTATTTAAAGTGTGCTCTACACAATAAGACTTGACATGATTCAGTACACACATGAAGTCTAGAATGGTTGGTTAAATCATGTGAGACGAAGGTTGTCTGCTTGTTCCGGCCCGCCCTCCTCGGATCCAGCGTCGCGATATGTCAGAGGACGCTAATCTTCAAGAGCACACTGTCACGGTTCCAGTAATAATTATTGGGTAATCAGGCCTGCAAAAGTAGTCTGTAATTTTCTCTCCGATTAACTATTCAATTCCTGCTCCAACAATTTATACATCCACCAGCTTGTCAAGAATACACGTTCTTGGCTGATATCAGCTTGCCCATGTTCCACCGAGGGTAATTTACAGCCTTGCAACCAGTTCCCAGCGAATCTCCAGCTGCCAATACGGTGATGGTGGATTTGATCAAGTTGGCCTCTACTGTTACGAGGGAGGTAGAAGCAGATAGAAGCTTGGCTAGGGCTACAGGCTTTTTGAGAATTTTCCCGCGCACGCAATTTCCATTGCCACCTTGTTTACAGTTGGGGTAAGTGGCTCCGTAGTAAAGGTGGCTGAATTCCATGGGTCAATACTGAGCTGAACGGCTATCCATCATGGGTACTATATTGGAGGTCTTATTTTCGCAATTCGTTAGGATGAGGATTGACCGGGGTCAAGAAAAAGCCGCCATAACTTCGCCGTGATACTTACAAATGAAAACTGAGGCATGAGTACTCTTCTTTTAAATTTAGTCACCTATCTTGTAGCTTTCCTCTGATATTGTCTCATAGCTATCTAGCCGCATGCCCAATTAAAATCTGATGCAAAAAAAAAGACAGGATAGGAACATTTGACAAGGTCTGGCCTGGATCACAGAAAAGCCCAATATGCTAGATAGACACAGTCTCAAGTAGCACAATAAAATCCAACCCAACCGAGCAACCAATCAGAGCTTGGGAGAATAATCATTTAGGATGATCCGTGGGTTGTGCTAGGTCTCGTAGGAGAGTCACGGGAGAGTGATGCTTCGAAATAAATGGCAAATCCGTTAAAATCTTGCTTGATGGTTAAATGTCTTCGGAGCTCATTTATAATGCATTGTGGCAATGACAGATACACAAACAATGGATTATGATGATCTTTTTCCGCGAGACGCAGTAATCTCGATAAATCTCAAGCATTCACGTGATGGTCTATAGCAGGGGCCATTTCAAAATTAGTTAGCGCATGTTTTCCAATCGCCAATTTGAACACTGCCAAAGGAACGCGACTCACCACAGGTCAAGGTGCAAAAATGTCGCTTTGTTCGGAATAAAGTTACTGGGAATGCTTAATTAGACTCAAACCTTCACGCCTTTCCCTTGGCTCTAATTCTGTCGAATAATTCGAGGCTCTCCTCAACCCATCTCGTCTAAGCAGCAGTAGTAGCGGAGTTTGGCCGTGTCTGACGGGCATGTTCCGAAATCATCAGCATGGCATCAGGAAACCTACCTCAGTCTTTCATATCAAGCTACGCTCCTCGATTACGAACTTATAACAACGCGCTGCTCACGCCTGTCATCCCGCCCGTGACGGCTCATACTGCGCCATTGTCGAGAACAACTAAGAGGGGGACCACGGCTATAAATTACGCCGAGGATGGTTACGATGACTACGAGGAGGATGAAGATGAAGGCAGAAAAAGACCTACCGGCTTGAGAAGCATCCGCCGAGATGAAGCAGGACAGCCAAAGCAGGACCAGCCGGAAAAAGTGGGAAAAGAAGCTACAGCACCAGTTGAGGTACAAGGAATCTGGAGAGATTGGATGGGAAAATCCAGATACCCAAAACCGGACTACAACAATTACGCGCAAACAGCACTACCACTAATACTCATTCCCATCAGGATAGATCTAGACATACCTGCTTTCATACCTGCGCCGCCCCTTCCCATACCTCAGGGAAGTTCATCAACGAAAATAGATCATTCATCATCATTATATCGAAGCTCGGAGATGACAGTACCATACCGACTAAAAGATATTTTTTTATGGAATTTACATGAAACCCTGACTACAACGGACCAGTTTGCCCAGACTATGGTGCAAGACCTCGATCTTCCACACCGGGGGCAGCTAGCGAACGAGATAAGCAAGCAGATAAGAACACAGCTTGAAGAGTATTCTGGAGTGGCACTTCATCCACTTTTTCACTCCCCGCATGTCGCTGCAGCGAACGGTGTCTTGATAGCTAAGAATGGAGCCCCGAAGAAGGATGCAACACTAATACCCCCCACTGGCCTAATAGCTACACCAGCTCAGAACTCTAGAATTCAAGCTAATAGTATGGTAGCCCACGTACCATCGGACTCGGACGCCACCACCGAGAGAATCTCAGCTTCTGCGTCCTCTATTTTACCCGAGTCGAACGAATTCAATCCGGACGATATGTACCGATGTATCATAAATTTGACAATCAACCTTTCAAATCACCTCTATACCGACAAATTTGAGTGGTCCCTACTTCATCCTCCCGGAACGGCCGAAATATTCGCCAAGCAGACATGTGCAGACCTAGGTCTTCCCCGTGAGTGGGTGCCAGTAATGGCACACGCAATTTATGAGTCGGTCCTACGCCTCAAGAAAGATGCGTGTGAAAGTGGGGGATTGGTGAGCGGTTGTTTCGGGGATATACCTAACGAGGCAGCGCACGGGGCGGAAGCCGGCTGGCGATATGATAATGAGCACTTGGCGGATGAATGGGAGCCCAAGGTTGAGCAGCTCTCGAAGGAGGAGATCGAGAAGAGAGAAGGGGATCGGGAACGACAGATTCGCCGTCTACGACGTGAGACAGCGCGATTCCCCTCGGGCACAGCCATGATTCCCCAACTTGGCGATAATAGAGGATATTTCGAGGATGCCTCGGAAGAGCGAATGGGCCGAGGAGAGCGCAGTAAAAAGAAGCGGCGATTCCGGAGTCTCAGTCCTCTCAATCGATCAGGTACGCCCGTTGTACGTGCCACACCAGACGTAAATGCCGCGGCCAGTGGTAGTGGGTCATTGAACGACTACGATCGAAGCACATGGCGGTGCTCTCATTGTAAGGTGTGGGGAACTGCCATCTGGGCGGTACGAGATGGACCCCAAGGGCCTCGAGTGAGTTGGCCTTCATTCCTATCCCTCAGTCACCACCGATCCATAAAACTAATACATCTCAGACGCTCTGTAACAACTGCGGATATCTTTATGAACGCGATCGTCAGCTCCCTAAGTGGGCTCGAGACCTTCACAAGTCCGACCTACGAGCGACCGATTATCGATGAAAATATGCCATTTTCAAACGCACTGTACTATTCAATTTTTGTAATGGGGAATATACGGTTGGGTGTTTGGAGTCAGACTGTATAATATACCAAAACTTGTGCCGAGGACAAGTGAGCTGACGGCGTCCCAAGATGGTCGCGAGAGACCCTTGAACAAGCTGTCCAGTGTTGCTTAGCTCCATATCAGGCCTGTGCTTGCTTGGAGAACTCTGCCTTCTGGCCCATCGTCTTACTGTCGTGACGGCTTCTTGTGTCCACGGGCTTTACCTTCCTCTATCCTTGCCCTCTTCATTTCCCTGCTCTAAGGCTGACCTCAAACCAGCCAGCCCACTAGTAGCCCTACTACCTGCCCAGGTCCTGGCTTAGATGGAACATCAGTACGTTATCTGCTCCATCAGTATACGCCCTCTCTCACCCTCACATCGTGATCCAAATACACGCTGTAGCCTGATACATGGCGCCGGGTCTACATGGACTTGCGCTCGCACAATTGATAAAGTGTTTGATCCAACAGCGTAGAGGCTTTAAAGGCGGGCGCTCATGGGAGGAGGGTGCTCACGATGGGATTCACGCGGGGATGACTGCGTTCAAGACATCCCGCTGCGACACCAGATCATGGAATGAAGGCGAGGAAGCGATTAGAGATAGGACACCTTAATTACAGACATCCCCGCAAGACCTACAACCGTATGATCCCTGAGCTTGACCGGGTGAGGAAAGACTATGGTTGATCATCTTCCTCAACTCGATGCTTGACTCCGTTGAGAAATGCGGTCATAGCCTCGCCACCGCCGAGGGGCATAGTACCGCCACTAACCCAACCTCCATTCGCCACCTTCAGCTGGAGCGCATCGGCCAAACTGGGCAAGCCGCCGTCACGAATTGCCATGGTCAGGCCTTCGAGGCTCTGGTGGAAGTAAGGGCTACGAAGCACCCGGTGCACAAGAAGCTTCTTCTCATCCAGGCTGAGGGGTGGCGCATTAGGCCCGGTGTTGACTAGGCTGGGTGGAAGAAAGGCGAGGAGACGGTCAATGAAGAGATGGCTGGCGGATTCCAAGATTGGGACGGTGGTCGAGGATGAGAGGAGATCGCCAAGGGATAGGCACGGCTGATTGGGCATGCGCTCGGGCAGCACCGGGTTATCTTCCAGGGAATGAAGAAAGTTCCGTACAATTGTCGTAGCATCCATGGCTTCAGACTGCAAATTACTGCCGCTCGCGTCAGCCTTTGGCCCTTAGATAGCATCGTGTGTGTGTGGGGGAGTATATATAATGGAGATTAAATGTTGAATATATTTTATTGGGCTAACAGTGGACACAAGCTGAAATATCCGCCTTGTGTCCGGACAGCGAAAGCTTTTCAGGGGAATAGGGGGAGCGCTGAACTTTGAAGTCGACGATGGGTACATGATAGGGCGTATACAATGAAAAAATAACCTACGCTCTGCCGCCATCTGCTCCTGCCTCCCTGGCATTGGCCCCTTCGCGACGAATGTCTCCGCCGGTTGCATCTGGCCCGGCACCACCACTCCCGCCGCCTCCGTGATGTTCGGAAGAGTGGCCGTGACCTTCGATATCTTCCATAGGCTCATCCCCATCGTCGAGATGGTCGTCATAACCGTTCCCCCTGATAGCAGCGAGCTCAGCCGCCACGTCAAATTCTTCTCCTTGCAGCAGGCGATCAACGACACGGCCAATGCTCAAGTCGCGTTCACTGAAACGGCTGGCGTATTTCGTCTCGTAAGGCTTTGATTGTAGCCAGAAAAGGTAGCGCTGTGGGGATGAAGAGAACTTAAGGACGAAGAAACGTCCATTGACATGGGCCGGAGCATCATCGTATGGAATGAAGCGGCAGTCGGCAGGCAGTATTACGAGGTCAAGATTCTGCTCGTCATGCACCGATTTGCCGCGCTCACGCCAGCAGAAGTGGATGAGATCTGAACCGAACATCAGTAGACAGTCTCACGCCAGCCATATTCCGACAGCACGAGCTACTGCAACGGCGCCACGAGGGAAGTTGCTTACTCTCTTCGGCATACAGGTATAGGAATCCGAGCGTCGGATTGGGAATCACTTTGTAGGGCCTACTCGATTGCTAAGACGGCAAGATTAGTGCATGCATAGATGATTTATTGGTTGACTCACATCTACCACGCAGGTACCAGCTTTGAAAGTAATCAGGGGATTGCTTGCCATGCTGTTTGTGAGGCTTCCGGGGCACTGATGTCGAACTTACTACATTGGAAGACCAAGCAGGTCGCGTGCTGAGAATACACTCGCTCGGCAAAACTATCTTCCGTTGGCGGCTAAGTCAGACTATGAGCGGCCGGTGCCGTGCCGCAAGACGTCACAGGCTAGTCCTTCATCTCTGAGTCTGGCGGACATCATCAAAGACTGTCCGAAGGCGTTAGTCAACAAAAATCTGATTCTTTTAGTTAGGCTTACACGCCGTCACAGGGGATTTTGTGGGTTATGTTACTGTGCAAGGTCAGGGGAAGGCGAAGGGAAACCTAGTGATGTATGATTTGCGCGTTGTGAGGTCGCAGGCTGATAGTTTGTCAGTCCCGGGTAACTTCGGCTGCGATGCCGATTTGTCAGCTTGACTGCCGTGGGCTTGTTGTTCTCAAAACATACATTGTTGGCAGCCGTTGCATTCGGCCTGGCATTTTTTTGGTTTTGTTGCGCGCTCAGTATGCTTTTCTTGTCAGATCTACCCGAGTGCCTTCGGAAGCTAAACGAAGTGCGATTGAATTATAACCGCTTATGGTTCCGCTACGATGACTGGAAAGGCACTTGGGCCTCTATACACCCTCGCGCTTTTTGAGCGCTATTGGAACCATCTCAAAACAGCATCTGGTCAGGACTTTCTGCAGGACATGGAGTCCATGAGGCAGTAATTCGGCAAAATTGAAGAAAAGCTTAACCATTAGTCCTAACCTCGTCAAAGAATTGAGACCCATCCGATTACACTAACATTGATTTACTCATTACCTCCTAGTCGCTCAGCTAATCTTTTCCTACCATCATGACCACAAATTGAACTAAGCGAGAATTCCAGTAGTAATAGCAATTACAAAAGTCAAGATATACAAACTCTTGTACGATATAAACGGTCAGGAACAGCTTTAGACCTTTACCACAAAGCAGAGGCCTTGAGTACCTCAGACGCGTATGATTCAATTTTTTATGATTTACTAATTGGTATCTCTAACGCTCTAACATTTACACGCTTTAGGGATGATGTTTTCAAGTTTAGTAAACGCAAGGCTATCTCCTCCTTACCCTAAAAGACCAACGAAAACATTGTTCATACAGCAGGATTTCCCAGAAACAAGATTCGTTAGCCTTATATTTAATTATCTGAAGAATTATCGTCTCCACTCGAATCCGAATAGAATGCTTGAAAACAGCTAGGAAGGTCTCCTTTTAGACGGTACGAAAGCATCTCAGACACAACAATTTCCTTCGCGACAGTCCAGCTATCTCTATCAGTACAGCCTTCCTTTTTACGAAAAATTCGCCAAACAACACTCTGTAAACTAGCAAAAGACATAGTATAGCCGAGCTCAAATGCATTCATATTGTCTAACCCCTCAAGAATTTTCTTGCGAGCCCACACATCTGAACGCAACGATTTTCCTCGAGAGTTCTCCAAGTATGCCCGAGCAAAAGTAGGCCCGTATCGTTGGACGAGGTCCTCAAAGACACACATCGTCTCCCTAATCCAAATATCATCGCGTAGATCAAGCGTCGGAGCTCTGGGTGACAGTTCATAGCCTGATTCGGATTGTGCAGTGTCAGCTGACTGCGAATTACGAATAAGGCCAGATTCAGCTACTAATCGCTTCATCATGACAAAGAAGTTGTGGCCCATCACCTCAACCATGACTCCGAGGGTTGCCAAATCTTCTACACAGAGACCTCGAAGGAATTTGTCCTGTGTCGCGCGTATTTCTAGCGTTGAATTTAGCCCAGCTGTGCAGTCCGACAATCTAAATAGAAGACAGATAGCATTATATCGAAATCCTCTAAACCTTAGACCGAGTTCTAACTTGGAAACATTGAGCGTGGGCCACCCTAGCTGCGCTGTTAGCTCTTCAAATTAGATGCTAAGCTGCAACTACAGGGAACCCACCTTCAAGTTCCCCCTTCATACAAGTTATTTCATGATCAACAAGAAAGAACAGCGTCAATTCCCGATATCTTAATTCCCAGAGCCATGGATAAGTATATTTTTCCAGTCCAATATTGCCAGCATTTATCCTGGACGAGGACCGGATGATTTTATTTTCTCCATTTACAAACAAAAGTAATCCACAGCCTCGCGTCAATCTTTTGGTTACAGATTTCTCATGGCTCTTTAATAATGACGTTAAGGACTAGCGCGCAGGTCAGGATGTTTGCCGGGAAATATAGGTAGCAATGGTTAGAAGTCATACCTTGGAGATACAGAGTAGGCACTTGATATCCCTCGGGTCCATGTATATCACGAATTCTAGCACGCGCAGACAAATCTCGGGCACAAGCTCGATTCCGCCATTGCTGCACAGCATGTTAGATCTCGCCATCACGACTGTCCAGTACGTCTTAGTACAGGTGCCACGGGAAATTTTCACAATGCGAGCTAAGTGCTGGCCGTCTTTTATCGCTGTGACCGGCAAAACGAGGATGCTAATTTTATTTTGCAGCGAGAACGAAGGAGAGCAAGGTTGAGAAGGATAAATATACGTAGCGATAGGTGTTTCTCGAGGGCTGTGGAAGTAATTGAAAAAGATGAGAGACCAGGTCTACGCCAGCTCAGGGCGAAAGACCTCGAATGCTGCTGCTTCTCCCATCAAGGTCTGGCTGAGTTGGCTCCACCCCACCACACGCGAGATGGAGGGAAGGTACGACAAGGCTAGTTCAACAGCCGCGCATGTCGCACTATCAAGGTTCACATCGGTGCTCGCTGGCCAATGAAAACATCGCGCTTACCCCGACCAGTTTTACCTGTCCTCGGGAATTCCGATGTACTATAATGGGAGAGATCCCACAGACCATCACTTGGGGAACAGCTGACACAAGGAGGCTGGGGGCTTTATTACGATTGGTAGCAAACTTTTGTTATAAATTTATATTACTCTGAGTTCAAGGTAACGGTCGAAAAAAGATCGAGACGAAAAAGCCATCACTCGCAGTCCTGGTTACACTACACTCCCTTCACCTGCCTGAGTACGCCTCTACCCGTTAGACTAATTCTGACCAGTATCGAGCTGACGGGTCTGTACATTAATAGAAGAGGAAGTTCTGTAATAGTAACCCTACGCGAATCCCGTCCGATGTAAAGAAATTTACACACCGGGATATGTTTTTGAACATCGTTTCACGCGTAACAAAATTGGTGTCTCTAGATGCCTCTTTTAATGTGGGACGTGGACATTAGCCTAGGCATTCCTAGCCAAGGGGGCATCTCAGCAGAGAACCTTCCTTCAGATAACTTAATTCAAGAATTCGCTCCAGAACTGGGCTTTTCCGTAAGGTTATTCCCTGTGATGTTATGTAGCGTGCCTTAAATTTTTTCATTCGGTGGCAGCTGTGTCGGCCTTCGGCCGTCCATGTGGCTACTTGGAAAAGCCGATGAATGTGGGCCTGTGAGTAAAAGTCTGTGGACTCATTAGGTCTTACAGCTGTCTCCTTAATGGCACGTCTCGTATCACTGACCTACCTTGGCCTGACAGAAGATATTCTTTATCGTTGAGTGCCTGTTGCCCGAGCTGACCCCTCCCTCGGTGTTGGCATAGTTTTGAGGGATTGACGTGGCATGGCCACATGGCCTGCTCTGGTCAGTTGATGACGCAGAGGGGACTAGTCAATCTAATCTTCAGCAGAGAAGTACGTTTTTCGTTTGTGCTTCGTTTGCTGCGCCACGCCCTCTCTCGGGTAGTGTTGGTGATGGACTACATGGGGTCGATAAATCGCATCCACGGGTGGCATCCTATATAATTCAGTCTCTGACTAACTTTCAGGTCGATAATGACTATCCTACTTACCAGTCATCTACAGTCAAGGGAAAGTATTCGTACAAAAAGTCGGCACTCTCGATGAGACTACCAAGACTGACTCCTCTTCTCCTATCCATGGAATTCTTTGCGTCGCTGGACTTACGATTGCCGCAGTGTGAAAGAGAATAACCCGAACAATTTTCTTCATCGCCAGGGGATATATCAATCGGGCTCGATAAGGAAGGTTTTGTCCACGTGACACTTTCGGAATTCCAAAGTACTGGCGAAATAGTAGATCCTGCTGATTCGGGAGACTTTGATTGTTTTTTGGTGGGACGATGATCTATGTTATTTCTTGAAACGTTGGCTTTCCATTCGGAAAGATCTAGAGCGGACTAAACTTAATATTAATAAGATATGATAAAATATGCTTTGGAAATTTCCAAGTACCTGTAGAGATTCAGAAGTGGACCCGTGGGCACTGGTCTGTGCACGAAGCTCGGCTCTTGTGCGTGGTGTTGACATATCGGTTTCAACGTGGGGACTGGGCTTCGTATCCGATTTCTTCTCACTCTCTCTAATCTTACTGTCAAAGTTACGAGGACTTCGTCCGCGCACAATGATAGGCCCGCTCTGGATTTCTGCAATTCTAAAGAGTTCTCCGGTGGAAAGTGTAGCGACTAGGTTAACTTGAACAATGTAGTGCTGTTGCAACCCCTTTCTCCGTCCGTTGTTGGCTGTCGCGTGTTTAAATTGTAGCCGTTTCCACGAAATTGGAATTGATAGCATAGTTGGGTCCATGTCGGGATTCAAGGAAAGATCCAACTGATGAGATGGTGGCGCAGTTCCAGCCTTGTCTTCACTTGAGACTCCTGTGGCTGTCTTCCATGGTACCGAGATAATTTCGGTACTCTTCCCTTCGATACTTTCAAAGGCAGTGAGAGATGCTTCCAGGTTAAAAAAGGGTATGTGGAGCCCTTGTTCATTGATCATCCCTTTCGTTCCTCGGCTAAGGATAATAGCTCCACTGATTTGAAAGAGATTTCTTCGATAGCAGGTCAATTCGTTACCTGTAGCAGTACTATCGCCGTAGACGTCTTCGGCTACAAAAAACATACCATAGAGTTCGGCCGACATTATTGGCCATGTTTGGCCGTTATCATCGAAAATTGGCGCCTTGAGGATGGGTCCACTGAAGCCAAGAAGCTTGTTATCCATTTCGGCTGAGGAGGATTTTGGTTCGGTCGTTGTACCTTGCTTGTTCTCTGTATGGGAACTAGCGAATTCGGTACTGTTTTGATAGGGAAAGGGATCATCAAAAGTGCTCGAGAAGCCATCTGACTTATCGTAAGAGGGCGTAAAAGGGAGAGAAGGGAGACTCGTTTGGTGTCCATCGCTAGGAAGAGCAACTGCGGGTCAGCGAGGATATTTTAGATATTTTTATGTCGTAGAATAAACGTACGAGTCACGCCTCTCAAACGTTAGCTCTTGACCATACGAATCCAGGCCAGATGCGACAATATGGCTCTGGTTGGTCGTGAGGCGTAGGATATCGCTCGGCACGGCCATCAAAGTCGACATCGTCAGACTCGCAGAATCGTGCGCGATCATTGTGTGCTGGTGTACAGGAGCGTCGACAAAGGTTGGAGATGGAAATACCATCTAAGTACTGACGTGGAGATGCCTCACATCGTTTAAGCGTTGTTTGGTGGGAGCAAGTCCAAAATATCACGCAGGATTAACGTGTAACTGGGAGACTCTAGATTGTAGTTGGAGGCGGGGGAGGGGGCTTTCTAATGACAAGTGCCCGAAGGGTTATGCAGCCTTTTGTACTTTGTCATTATTTTCTATATCCATGAAGTGGGTGTCAATATTAAGCCAAAGGTGTGAATTTAATGGGTAGGATGTGGTAGCCGGTGTTGGGAGATGGAGGGGCACATTAAGGGGGAGAAGGGGGCCCAAGGAGGCCAGGGAGCTAAGGGGTCGCGTGCGTGAGATTATGAGCATCATCTCGGGTGGAATTACGGGTAGGATAAGTTAGTTTGGTCTGGCTATGCATATTTCATCTTGGCTGACAAATCTTGACCCTCCAGTCGCTCCGGGATTTTCAACGCCAAAATTTTAACTTTGCGATTGCTCAAGTCCGAATTCCGTAGTTCCGCTCCTTTCAAACTCCCACACGGATGGATTACGCCTCGAGTTGACCGAGGTGAGGCAGGGTTAAAATGTACCATTCGGTTCTCGAGATTAGCGAGCCATTACTACACGCTGTTTTCTTCAACTACCCTCGCGGCTCATATGCCTTGTACGATGCCTCCACGCACGCTTCTCAACCGTTGCACATAAAATGAAGCGAAAGAAATGTGTCTAAAGATAGGCCTAGGAATTTACCTCGCAGCTAGACAACTTGAGGCCAGAATGCTTGCCGAATACCGATGGCAGCAGTCACAGTAATGACAGCATCTACCCGAGGCTGTATCGTCCGAGCGCGGCACGAGAGATAATTTGAATGCGAAGCGAGCAGTGCCGATCTAGCATCTTGTTCAGGCTATGCATTTCATCTCTACACGCAATCTACAGTGAATCCGATCCGATCTATCAGCTACCCCGGAGCCGGGTCATGGGTCGTAGACGTCCCTCGTTACCTGTCGATGAGATTGACGTTTATCTAGCATTCTGATACGATAAGAAATCCTCTTCAACGACGGACGTCTTTAGTGGCTTTCATTCCCGCATAGTTCGACGAACTATTTCATGTGACAATAAGTTTGTATTTGTTCACGTAGGATCTTATCGTAGAGGTTCATGGGCTTACGAGCAATGTGGAGTTTCCCGGAATTTGCGAAGCCCTAAATTTTCGAGTGGTACACGGCCATGGTCGCAAACATCGAGTAGACTTCGCATCCCCATCCCTTGGCTGTGCACCTCTTCTAAAGCCTCTTCACATGCAGATGGAACAACACTAGAACTTTCTAGTTCACATATCATCCCACAATCTCCATCAGCAAGACAAATTGACACCACAACTCTTGCTTCTTATCCTATCACCAACCCTGACATCCTTGGAGTTTGCCGTAACATCTTATGTGGGCTGGTCTCTTGTCGATCTAACGAAAATTTCTCGAATACATGATTTGATGTAGTTTGAAAAAGCGTTGATAATTAGGCGCTACCTTCTCTTGAATGTGTTCGCTTTGATTGAGTAGCTAGATTGAATACTAGCATCTCATTCACTCAGGTATCTGTTAGTGTACAAATTTAACATTCGGTGAATTAATCATCATTTATGGTCGGGATTTTGTACCGCTCTGCCCTGTTATTTTTTGTCAAGTTTTGGAGCCGGAACGCATTTGGTAAAGGCCCAGGTTAGACCTATTGACGGTTGAGGCGCGCACGTAGCGTTTTACCTCAGTAAGTGGACCGAAGCCAATCTCTAATTTAGTCACAGGTTGTATATCCACCATCAGGTTGAGACGGCACAGGCAATAGCGGCTCCAATCAGGCTACTCTCCCGCGCATAAGCAAGCTCGACCATTCCAGCATTACCACCGCTAGCCTGAACGAGCAGATCTAAATGTACCTGACATGCAGCTCTAAATCCGGGATAATTCTCAATGACGGAACCGTTGTAGGCAACAATAGTGTGAGAAAATTGTGAGGGTGAGATACCCTCGACCTCATTTCGAAAATGCCAGAGGGCGTGAATGCCAGCTGCAACTAAGCAGGAAGCTCGATATATGACGTGGGAGGCGATCAAATGCAGTGCCTCTAGGTCTCGATCAGATGGGGGGTTGGTGGTAGGATGTCTTTCAGAGAAGAGGTGGCGAGCAGTGCTAAGGTGGGTGCTATGATTTCTGGGAGCGGTGAGCAAGATATATTGTTAAGTTAAGTAAGACCCACTGTTCTACTTGCGAAATGGTTTCAGTGCTCAGAGAATACTTCTCTCGCAGGCTTGGGGGCACGATGCCACCGAAGAAACCGGCTGATTCTATAGCATCGACAAGGATGAGACGGATGATCTCGCCTAAATGTCCGCCGCTAACTAGAGTTTCGAGGGGCTGGAAGTCGGGGTTTGGATGGTGAGCGCGCAAGCTTTCGTCCCATTTGGATGTTGGCAGGATGTCATGTCCCATCATGGACATTTCGGTGTTGACTATGACGTGCTGGGCCGTGGCAAACCATTCTGACGGTCTGATTCCGAATTTTGCAGCGCCGAAGAGACCGACAGGGAGGTGGACGGCGGCGTTGACGCCGGTTCCGAGAATAAGGGCAAAGCGGGTGGCCGGGGCAAGGTATGCCGTAGAGAGCAGGGTAGCGGAGGAATCATTAATGATGGCGTGGAGACGGACATTAAGACCTCTTTGGTGGCAACATGATTCAATAAGCTGGCCGAGATCTTGTCGCAATAGGCCCTCGGCAGCTAAGAAACCCTTGCCCATTTGAAGGAGACGTCCGCTTTGGTGGGAGGTTTGCCTGCGATAGTCAGTCTGGTGCAAGGTCTGCACGTGGTCAGGGGGAAGCGAGAGGCATACTCAATGGGAAAGGACCACGATACGCCCATGGGAAAAGATGGTTCAGGCAAGTCTTGGCCCATCAAAGTTTCCTCTATCCTCTCGGCCAACCAGTGGAAAAATGGCATGCCTCTTAATGCCTTGACGGGTGAGGTAATGGGAAAGGACTTTTGACTTAGTATCTGACATTTGTCATGCACCTCCAACGAGCTTCCAGTGAGCTCGACGAGAGCGACGCGCAAAGTGGAGCCGCCGAGATCCAGGGCTAGAAACCTTCCCCGTTCATCACCGGTGGGTAGCTGATGATTGAATGATGGTAGCATACAAATAGGGTCCTGAATTCTTTCGAGGTATTGTGCCTTGAGGCGATGAGAGAGCATAAGGAGGGAGCTGGTGGAGAGAGGAGTTCGTAGCGTCATTTCCACGCGTTCGAGGAAAGCTTGGCCATGGCTAAGAGATTCACGTGGCAGGAGCACCCGTAGTTTTTCGTCGTCGGCCTCATACTTCTTTTCATCCCAACTACATGAGGGCCAAATGGCCAGGTGGAGACGTGTCAAGAGGGCTAATCTTGTGCGTAGGAAGATGTTGACAATGGCGAGGAGGGCAGTTTGTATTGTGAGCATGGCAATGATGGTAGGTAGGCGCAGATGTGATTCCATTGTTCGGAGACGCGAGGCGGGCGATAGGGAGTAGGAATTCCCTGGTACGGGTGTGGATGTCGGACGAAGATTCCTAGTGTTTCTGTGGGGCAGCGGGTGGCCAGGGGGATAGGATCTGCAGGCCGGAGAGGGTGGAGGGAAGTTTGGCTTAGCTCCGTTGGTGTCGGCAGGCGGATTACGATGTGATATGCACGGAAAAGATAAGAGCGTCTCTGAGAGCGAAACGGAGAAAGGCGATGCTAGGTTGGTTTGAGGATTGGACGGCTGAAGAAGGGAATGATGCGGGCTCTGAAATGATTTGGAGGGATGAGAAGGATGAGATCGAGGAATGGGAGCGGTGCAGAGGCGGAGGCGGATGAATTAAAGGGCGATGAAGGATGGTTGATTGAGGTGATAAAGGCGCGACGCTAGGAGCCCTGATGATGGCTCAGGGCATCTTTTGGCCGTGGCAACGTTACCACGGTCTCGTGACAGCGAGAATGCGTGTGGGCAGAGCATGACAAAGCTTGGCGCCGTAACTGGCCGTGAGACGTGCGGATGGGTGATGAGGTGGGTGCATGGCCGACGCCCTGGTGGTGTGTAATGGAGGTTGGACCTTTTTTTCGACGGGGGCGACGCTGCGGCCGGAAGCTAGAGGCGAGGGCCAGCCGGTATAGAGGGACACGCCCGCTGGATGCGCAGTGGAGCCTGGCCGCTCGCGCGCCTACTGAGCTCGCCGCGGCAGCGACGTCGGCGCCAGCAGCAGCATGCCCTGATGTCTCCTGCAGGTCGTCGCGGCGCTGATGTCCGATCGGCCGCGAGGACAGAGCGTGACGGCGAGGTTCGAGAGAGCGCAAAAAGCCAGGGAGCTGTGCAGACGAGACGGAACAGTGACAACGCAGGCGGCCGTGAGAGCGACGTCTGCTCCAAGCGCCTGCCGGCTCACCAGACGCGTAATCTGACAACGACCACGACAACGGCGGCCCGGGTCTCGCCGGCGTCTGGGCCGCGACCTCTGTGCTGGCTGGGGCGGTCTAAGTTTGTAGCCTGTCCTCAATGCCTATTTTCCGCCTCCTATTGGCTTGTCTAGTGCAGCGCCGCCGGGGCCTGCGGTATCTGGCAGATGTCACGGCGTCGGCCGGCAAGGCAGCACCTGCGTCGTCTCCGTCCATGACTTCAACGCCATGTCCGCCTTCCTCTTCCCCTGCTCCTCACGGCCGTTGATCGTCGTCCGCGTCTGCCGCACACGATCAAGCGCCCCGATTTAACTACGGCCCTTGCTAGCCTCTCAACCCTGCAACCTGAGTGTGCCTGGCCCATGGCGCCGAGACCGTCAGATACGCCCGTGCCATGGCATGTCCGGAAGGTCTCGGCCGCCCCAGCTACGTAGGCTTCCACATCGTCAATTCCACGCACGGCCCTGAGCGCTGTGCTTTGATTTTCGCGCCTACAGCGTCTCCATGACTCTGACTAGAACACAGCGCGCCTATCCGCACCTGGCTAGCTGTGGCGG